TGGTAAAGACGACAAATCCTGCCAGTCCTGTACTGCCTTCACCACTGAAGAACCACATAAGGAGGATTTCCTCAGCACCTAGGTAAGGACTCCAATCCCTAAGCAACACCACAATATTTTTTACATTACAGACAGGGAAATTAAAAAGCAGAGGAGCAAGGCAGTCTCTTCCCAGCACTGCACAGCCAGGTCAACAGCCGGCCAGGGAAACCCCATGTGTCTGTTCTTCAGAATTCTGCACCAAGCTCCACCTCTCACTGTCCCTTCTGGGACGGTTTGTACCAGCAAGGGCATGGCCCTCTTCCACTGCACACAGGGCAAGAAGGGGACAGGGCCTCTGGTTTTCATTTCCTGAACCCCGCTCACTTTTCTGAAGAGATGTGGTTATGTGTCTTCTACATTTAAAGAAACAATTTTCTCTGCTTTTCTCTCCTACATTTTGCTTATACCAGAATGGCCAGACAGAAACAAAACCAAGCACCACAGCCCCTTTACCCCTGTGGATAAGCTATAGCAAAAGAGAAAGTGCAGGAGTTTCACATCAGATGACTCCTTCCTCCAGCCTTAAAAACCTATAGTCCAAGAGGCAACTAAAGGAGCATCAAGAAGGCAGAGCTGCTTTGGCAAAAAAAACCTCATCCTGGCAAATGCCTTTTGGTGTTCAGGCTCAAAATGCCCTGGTAAAGTTGTACCCTCCCTGTAAGGCTCACGTCAGTGATTGTGCAAGTAAAGGCTTAAAACCTATTTTCACTGAAGTTAGTTATGTAACTAAAAGATAAGCCCCCTACTGAACTGCAATACCTTATCACATGATATCACACTTTAAATCTCTTGCCATTAGCCTGCCTCATTCTATTGCATCACTACAGAAAAATACTTCACATAGAAAGATTAACATGATCTAAACACGTCCTCCGAAGCCATGACTCATTTCAGCATCCCCAGGGTAAGACAGACAAGAGGGGAAACTCCTCCGTGACATGAACCTACAGACAAAGACTCTGGGTTTGACTTCAGGCATATATGTTCAGTTTTATGCGGACCTTCTCAAAAGCAGCACAAAAGCACCTCCTCTGTTTATTACACAGTTTGCACACCAAGGAGCCAAATGGCTTATGTTAGGGTGGTTAATGACAAGCAAAAAGATTGCTGAGTCCCTAGACCACCCATTATACATTGAGGCGGACTGTGTATACATATAAGAGCAGTTATTTTGTTCCTCTGTACACTGGGAAGGTAAGAAAGAAGCAGGGAGAGGTGTTATGTTAATGCTGGATGCTTAAGAGAGGAGGCCAAAGGCCAGTGGCAATGCTCGCAGGAGAGAGGAGAATCCAGCCCGGGAGGGCTCATAGCTCATTACCTGACCATGTGGTAGAGTTTGCGAGGAATCATTCC